GGGGTTGGAGGGGTTATGTGATCGGTGAGTGATGGAGTTATGCATGTGCACGTGTCACACCAATCACAGTGCGGGTTGTATCAAAGAACGAATCAAATGGCCTGTTAGAAAATAAGATGGTATCTACATCAATCTGAAGACGTGTCAGATTACTGTAGTTTGTTCAGTCAAACATTTTATGGCTTGCTATTCAGCTATCTTACCATGACCGATGTAACATCGCAACCAAAAATACTTTTCAAATTAACCAAATCATTACTGTACCATGAATGCTCCAATCTCCGACACTTCACACAAAAAAATAACTCTTGCATGCCTTGCGTGCCTATGTTTTTGGATTTGCAGCTATTTGTGTTTGAGGAAATCTCGGTCAGGGAAATCACCTGACTATCGTGATGTCATTGTTCTCGAAAAGCTCCATTTCCAAAATGTTTTTCGTTCACACCTAAACACAAGGCCGGCGTTTTCAAATTCCTCCGGTTTGAAGAGCGTTTTCGTAAAGTTCCGTTTTCATGACGGATTAGTGTGGACGGTAGGCCTAACCGTAGAAATAAAGCTGCGCTTTCAAAGTTCTCCAGCGTACCCTGGACGGGGAGTATTAAGCACTTCATGACTGGCCCCTACGGAAACAGGGAGTTTTGTTCCCCCGATACCCTCAATGTTCCGCGAGGCGAAGCTGAGGGGAACATTGAGGTCGAGGGGAAACAAAACTCATTTTTTCGCGCGGAGCCAGTCATTAAGAGTTTGTTACACCTCCCTCAAAAATAGAAAAAACTGCGAAGGAATCGTTTGCTTGACGCCGGCTGGCGCACAAATTTGCCGCGGTTTCAAGGAGCCCGTCCTGATCACGTGTGAGCGGAAAGTTCAAGTTGTTGTTTCCCTAGCGAGTTAGTGAGTTTTATTCGCCCTAGGAAGTTTGTGAGTTTTTACCCACGACACGTGACACATTCTCCTCCAATCACGAAACGTATTTGAGTTGGGAGGTGTAACAAATCTTTTTAACCTCACACCAAATGCTGACCGCGACTGACCGCGACTGACCGCGAATGCTGACTGCTGATCTTGTGTCTCACGCATTCATGGCGGCAAGTTCAAAATGGTATTTGATTTTTATTGAGCTGCTAATTCCGTAAAAAATAAGGTATGTGCAATTTTATTTTACAGAAATTTTGTTAGACCCTTGTCCTTTAAGGACGACGAAGAAGAATGGCTGCGGAAGCCGTTTTGTGCTAAAACTCGAGCAATCTGCGAATGCTGGAACCTCGTGTCGACTCGCCGTCTTTCTTACCTTGATTCTTGTAATATATGGCAGCATATGCTGACCAAAAATCGCTCAGATTACCTTGAAACACGACGTAAGGATAGAAAGCAATACCGGATACGGTTTCGTGAACATATTTCGTGATTTCGACATTATTTATGGGAAAAAGTCTCAGTTCTAAATTCCATACAAACTGTTATATTACATATTATGCTTGGGTTACCTATTATTAAATTTCCGTGTCTACGTTACCCATACGAACAGATTGTGAGTACTTGAGATACCTTGAACTGTAAGAATGATACACCGAGCTTCACTCACCAATTAAATTAAACATGTCGGACACCAGATGAGATTTGATCTTCAGGTCCAAAGGAGAGTCACTAAACAAATACAGGGAAAGCAACTCAACACATTAAAAAGGCTAAATAGTGCGGTTTTCAGTTGAATATTAGAGAGTTTAAGCATAACGTTTACGGCAGACGGGAAACGACAAAGATTACCTCTGATTTTTTTAATCTTTTCTTGTAATCCTTAAATAAATCACACAAAAATAGAAAAACGTCTTCTACTATTCACCGCAAATATAAATATTTTCACTCTGCTGTACAGACAGCTGAAGATAGACGGCAAAAGTTTCATTTTTGCCGTTCGACGTTACGTCATGCTTAATCTCTCTAATATTGAATATCGTAAAACCAAAACTAAAGTAATCATTCTAGCCAATCACAAAGGACATAGACAATACAGTGAACCAATCAAAACTCAAAGAAATCACATGTCACTGACGCCAAGCGCGGGAAAGCGTGTGCGAGCGAGTCATGATTAGTTTTGGTTAATTGGATGAAAAAGTGGCGCGAGTTTTTTAAGCAAATCGTGTTACGTAGTAGGTGCAAAACCAATCACTTTTTGACACTCAAATGAAAACCGCTCTATGGACAAAACAGAAAGTTTGTTATTGAATGGTGAAAACAAACAAGATATCCCAAACGTTCACTAAACCTTGGTGGAAGCCATGTAGTCCTTGTAACTACACTCAACAAACAGCAACAATAAAGAGTTAGCCACTGAAATACAATCATCTGAACTTACCAAGCAAGTGAGGGAGATAAGTTAACCTCCAACAACCAAGGACGCAGATTTTCATCGACTAGAATGTCAAAGCCGTATATTTCTGTGAAAATAGGAAAACCGAAACACCAACTGAGCTGGCCAGCCTTTGCTGCTACTTGAACGTCACGTATTGAGCTAAGTCTGAGTCAAGCCAGTTGCCCATACAGCTGGGGCTTATCCCTGTTTCTATAGCATGAAATGACTAGGAGTATTTCTACTCCCCCCTGGATGGGATGCTAGTCTATCACAGGGTTACCACCAGCATATTCGTTGGTACCTATTTATACACCTGGGTGAAGAGAGGCACTGTGAGAGTAAAGTGTCTTTCCTAAGAACATAACATAATGACCTCAGCCAGGGCTTGAACCTGGATCACTCAATCCAAGGACCACCACTGACACCTCCGGAACTTCACACATTAAATACCATTTATTTATTTTTTTTTTTTTTCAAATTGCCTGCTATGTTTATTCTACTGGCAGCTAACGGTTGGAGTTGCACTGTGTCAGTTTTTGGTGGCAAGAAGAAGGAGGGAGAATATACATAAGAATACAACACAGAGAGCTTACATGGAGCTAGAGAAAGCTTTGCTTACCAAAGCAGTTTCCTGAATAAGGCATAAACATTTTACAGGCAGATGCAATGTGTAACTCCCCAGCTAAAATTGTCTTTATCACTACATCTTCTATTCTCATCATCAGAGCTGCAAGAAAGTAATACATTTGAGCAAAAATTAGTTATCCTGAAGTCATACAAAACTTAAGCTTTAGAAAAGTTTGTTGTACCCCAAGCACAACATTGTTACAGCATTAGCAGGCATGGCAATCAAATCCAAGGTCACTTGACATATTTCATTCCAAGTCTTATATCAAGAAGCAGGGATGGCACAGTGTTGGGAGCACTGACATGCCAACAATGTGGCAAGGGTTCAAATCATACGTGGATTGAGTTCGTAGATGGTTCTTGTCCCACCTTCCTTGTCCTTCCTTTAAGGTTACCCCAAACCTTCACGGGGGCTACTTTTAATCCAGATTCTCTGGTTTTCCTCCTACCACAAAAACCAACACTTCTAAATTTAGTTAGACTACGAGTAATCCCTCTTTTGCTTAGTCAGTTGTGCATGATGCAAAAGAAAACTGTGAGAAATGAAAAGCCGTGCCAAATCCTGGGGGGGGGGGGGGGGACAGTGATCTGGACACAAAGGCCTCTCTATGGGCTTTGTGACTATCAAGTCCTGTTTCATTTTATTTCTGCATGTAAGCTTACCTGTGGTGTCTTTTCCAAGTTGCTTGAGATATCTTAACATAGCACTCATGCTCCACTTGTTCCCAAAATCTTCAACTTCAGGGTCAGGACACCTGGAGTACACGGCCATACAGCTCAAATATGTTAAAAACCTGGCCCAGGTTGTTTAAATGGTAGATAACCCTATGCACTGGACAAATCACTATCCAGCAGATAGCAAGTTATCCAGTGGATGGAGTTATCCAGCCTTCAAACAACTGGGGCCTGCTGTTTCCTTTACTAATGTGTATTCCTGTTTGTTTATTTGTTTATGAACTAAAAATACTGCTGGAGAGCATCAAAAGAATTCAGGGTCACTCTGGCCCACCTTGTTTACATTAAGGTTCGCACTAGTTTAAAAACTACCAACCTTAAAAACGTCACAGAATGAGACATAAAACAATAGCTACTTCACAGTTTCACAGCAACCAATTATTAATTCAGTGAGGTGAGCAAAACAATATGAAACTTCACATACCTAACAAAGTCAGAATTTTTCTTGTTGACGCTATAGTTTGTCAAATGCATACAAACATTCTTGATGTTTTTACCAGTTCTGTCGTATTTAACGGTGGCAAATCTACAAAATAATAGTAATGATCCTGTTCAAGAAAACGACATACAAAAAACGATAATTCGATATTACAAATGTACACATCTTTTCCACAGACAAACAACCCTGAGGCCATGCTGAGGAGTAACATTCTGTGGTTGCATTCATGATAATCAAACTACCTTGCATGTATGCAGATTCATGTTTTTGCACTTTGATTCTGAATGGCAAAAGGCAAACTTAGGCAAAAGTGTTTTCTTGTCCTTCACTGCATTTCAGCTGAATACCAACCCACCTTGTTAAACCCTCTTCATAGAGGTAAACTCTGACAGGATCAAAACATGTCACACCAACGTACAACCTGAGGTCAAACTTGAATCCTGTGATTAAAACAACATCTCAGATATATCATAAAATTTAAGATCATCAAGTAAATTAGAACTAAAATTCTAGACCTTGATCTTGTACATGGAACATTGAAGTTAACTTTCCCGGCTGATAGCAATCCCCTGTAACTTGTAGGGATAGGGGTAGCCTCCATAAAATTTTTAGCAAAAAACCTGGAAGCTTGATTTGTTTGTGGTAACTGATTTACAAATTAATGTTCTCCAGAGGTTGAGTTTAAAGTTTTGACAACTTTTTAATTCTTGTCTCGTACACTGCAAAGTCTGTCTGGTGAAATGTTTGAACTACAAATGCATTCTTTTTGAAAATGTATGTTGTTCTCCAAAGAGATGTTTAATGAACATACCATCAACAAGCAGTGGGTTACTGATGTACTTGCAAACTAAAAGATTGTCATCAAGAGGTACTTGACTAGGCTGCAAAAAGATTTCAAGAGCAACTGATCATATAAATTATCAATCAAGATGTACAAATCCTCTTTACAGCCTTAATATAATCATGTTGAGCAAGCAGGTGAGGAAAATGTAAAAAATCATCAACCAGGAAGAACTGTCTCATCAGTTTGGCTAACAGAGATAACCTGGAGATTTTGATTTCTCTCGTTAGCAGATCTGATTATCGCCAAGTGAGAATGACAAGCATACAGCCCACATATCAGTACTCACATGATTGACAAGATAAATTCCTCGACCTCGTGATGAAGCAACAGGTTTTACAATCCATGGTTTTCTATCCTTCAGGAATGCCGCTAAATAGTACAACATGCAGAATATGAACATTCGAACAACAAAACCAAGCCAATGTATGCATGTTGAATGTCAAAACACTTACCATTAAACTCATTAAACTCCTCTGGTATGATGTAGCTTTCAGGAATAAAATCAAAATGTTTCACACCCTGAAAAAAAGAAAGAATATAAATTTGTAGTTTAAAAATTGTTGTTCTGACTGGCTCACCAGCCATAATTACCCCAAACCCAAAGAAGAGTACATATTATACCTTGGAGTGTTGCATTCGTTGGATATTCTTGTATAATTTGTCCTTCCTGGTTAGTTCATATGATCTGTTTGAAAGAAAAATTAAGTAGTAAAATTATATACAGTAGATGACTGTTAAAAATGCACTCAAACTATTTCTCGAGACTACAGGATTACAATATGCCATTTTATATTTATGTTGTAACTAAAATATAACTTGGTGTTCTGAACACTCCATTGAATATTAAAACAAACATCTAAAGTGTTTATAAATGTCTTAACAACCTGTAAATACCTATGGCCAGCATCCCCATAAAATGTTTTCTTTTCATCACCCTCTTTTTTGCAAGAGTGAGCCAGTTGCAACAGTTCAGGTCCATATGATTACTCACTTAGTTCAAATATAATGTCTCTGTACTTAGGTAAGATAATCAATGGGTTAAAATGAAAGACCACTGTGACAGTAGTATCGAAAGGTTTTTCACATACTGGCAGTGTAATGGTTGGTGTACTCAATGTAAAAAATTTAACTTTACCCGTAAGGAAATGAGAAGTCTCTTATGCAAAAATATCTTTGCTATTGTTTGGGAACCTATAGATGTCATGGTTTGAAACTGTTGCTTAGTTTAATATTTTTATGAACTAGTTGATTTCTCTTTCCTTTGTCTGATACATGTATTCATAGTCATAACTTGAAGAGAAGTACCCAACTCTTTGGAATCTAGGGTTAATAGAACTTCCCACATTGCACTTCAGTACGTACGAACAATGGTATGGGGATGGGGTGAATACTTTCATACATTTCCTGTATTTTTGTCCACCCTGACCTTGACTTGGCACCATTGTTTGTTAGAATGTGGGAAAGGTCTGTTCCATGAGCCTGTAAGGTGTGCTTACACTCTACCTTGGGAAATGATTTATCTTTTGAAAGTCTTGAAGGCCTCTCAGAGTATGAGGCTTGACATGTGACCCCGTCCACATCAAATTAAAGTTTGAACTGTTAGGATGAACCTATAGAAAAAAAAAAGGTTTTCCACCTTGTTGTTAATGAACAATAATATTTGAAAACAAACTAACCAATCTGTAGAACTACAATATGATTATTCTTTTTTTTATTTTAATTTGCATTCATAACAAGTACTTGCAAATATTTTGTAAATTTCTAGTATAAAGGAACAAAATGATTAATGTTTGTGAGAATGAGGAATCAAAGCTGTAGAAACATAAGCCACTGGTGAAGGGGTTCAATCCATAGTTGCTGTACAGCTGTTTTCAACTAAATTAGTATTCTGCTTTCTTTTTGAGCATGTCAGCTAGAATCAAACTTGTTCACCTCTCTAAAGCAGTGGACACTCAGGATGCTTCGTACAAGTTTACATTCAGTCTTCATAAACTTGTATGTCAAATGGTACTTTTCTGTCAAGAGAACATATGCAAAATTTGTATCTAGACCTCTTTTGATAAACTGCACAGGTAAAGCATTGTTACATTAATGCTACACACAAAAAATACTAGTGTGGAGGTCACTTCTCGCATAGCACTTATCCCCAACCAAAAGTATGTAAAGATAACAACGGACAAATAAAATAAGGGTGATTTGAGAACAATGTTGGGACCCAACAGGGAGCGGGCAGGGGAGAAGCCTACTGTGGACATCAAGTCATGGGTTAGTAACAGCCTCTTGGACTATAAGGCTGTAAAACTCCCTTTTATTTCTTTGACATCATCCACACAAAGTGGACTTGTAAACATTAGCAGTTCTATGATGCAATAAAAAGGTAGCACCTTGTTATAAAAGAACCTTTAGTGCTGATGCAGCCAGGTCATTAGTCCTACAAATTGTCCAATTTTCAGATTAACACTAGAAACATATTATCTGTAAAAATCAGAGAGCATGTTTGCTATTTATTTTCCTTAGCTTAAATTATTACATGACTATGACAGCCAACAGGGCCATTATAACTCAGAATACTTTATTGATGGTTAATATTTTCTAAGTGTTGGACCTGGTAAAGTTTCTGCACGTCTTTTTCAATCATTATCAGGGCTCAAAAAACTTTTAATTCAAGCTTGCCTTCGGACCAGCATGTCTCAAATTTTCCTGACCCTGGGCAGGTAAATGACTTGCCAAGGCCCCTACCCATCGGCTAAATGAGAATGAAAAGTTACTCGCCCAGCAGGAGAATCTACCTGTCCCAGATGATTGAACGGCACTTTTTTCAATCCGTTATCATGTCATGCAGTACATCTAAACACCTTGCATGGAACCAGATTGGAAGAATATCAGCACTTTGTAATATTATTCTTGTATGGACCTCACTGCACTTAGAAGACCTGTACTTTCAAGACAATGGGTTCAAAACCTAAAGCTGATATTCTCCCAGCAGAATCCTTATGCTCAGTTGTAAGATAAGTATGATCATAATTTTGGAGTTTTTATTTAGTGCTTTGTTTCCTACCTGCTTCAGATTTTGATTCTGGGGGCAAGGCCAGCAAAAGCACATGAGGAGAAAAATGGATCAGGGGAAATTTCTTATTAGGACCACTCCACTTGATGATGCTGAAAAAGAAGATTATGGGATGAGCCAATATTTACAAAACGTTGTTTCACAAGCTTAAAAGCTTAATATATCAGCTTCCATGTTGCTATATGTCATTGTTAATGGTGTGAACTTAGCTTTAAAGAAACGTTTTAGCAATATGGGATAATTTATATAGGAATAGTGCTACCTGGTTTTGCCATCTGACTCTTCACAAGGTTCCTCTACATGGGATGTTATAGGAATTTCATTTTCTTCTCCACATTCATCGTTTTCTGTCACTGCAGAGTCTGTGTCAGAATATTTTTCGCGAGTCTGTGGTTTGGGCATTCTGGTCTGACAATCAACTAACGTCAACCTCGGACGTTGTCTAATTCTTCACAGTTTTTTAATTGCAAAGTCTTAGTGACAAACCAATAAAAGAAACTCAGAGATTCGTAAAGGCAACCATAAGCTTACGATGTTATGTTTTGTTGTAACCATCACAATTCCTGCAGTTGTTTACTTTAGAACAGTCAATAAATTAATCAGTCAATAAATTAATCAATCCAATTGGTTATAAATCCTTCACGGCAGCTTAGTCTTTTCTTCAGCTTCACTGCCCGCAGTGGTGAAGAATCCAGAGATGCAAATGCTTGAACAACAGAAATTCCGGTGATTACTGGAGCGAGCTGGCCTTGATTTGAAATGACCCACTTTTTCCTGGAGTTATCACAACAATTAACAGAGAACCTTGATGCCAGTCAAGCTCAACTTTTGATCAGATAACCTGTTCTCTGCGTGCTTTTCTTAACTATAATCCAGTAACAAGAAAACTCTGAACATCACGTTGAAATTGAAAATGAGCTTTCCCACCGGTTCAAAGTATCCGCCATTTTACTTACATTTCCTCGTTGCCATCCAGGCAAGCAAGGATTTATGGGAAGATAATGATACCGTGCGACGGGCCCATCGCGTGACTAGCAGTGAAACGATCGATCAAAACCAGAAATTGAAATCGCTTTTTTTGTGATGGAGGCAGAAACAGGAAAGAACGAAGAGTTTGTTGATTTAATCTCCTCGGGGAGACCAATTGATAATTTCTTGACCCGCAGCATTTCTTCCAGAGACCCATGCAGATATTTGTTCGAGAGGACAAAACGCCTGTTTTCTTCCGGTGTGTTTTTGAAGGCCTCTGCATACGCTGTCGGATTCTGGAACCCCAGCAAAGGATTCCGCGGTATAATGGCAGCGATCGTATTATTACTGGATGTATATTACCTCTTTGAAGCCGTTTATTATGCTTTCGTGTGTGGCCATTTTGACACACCCCTCGACCCTTGGATGTGTGTGAACGTCTCCACTACAAACTCATCAGGTACAAGTAAGGCAACTTTACCTGAACTTCTACACGGAGTTGAGCTGATCAACATTTTATATCTGGTCTCCTGCTTTGCTGTGCTCATGTCCAATGCAGCATTCGTTTGGTGTATGTGGAATCTGAAACGACGATCGGATCATTGCGTGACACTAGATCAGTCCTATTCCGCAGCCGGACGCTCGCTCTGGGTCACGCTAAACCTCACCATGCTTATTTTTGGCTCCTGCCTTGTGATTAAGGTTTTATGGTTCAACTTGACCATCAATGCGCCGCTCGTTAATTACGTGTCAGTTTCTCTGAGCATCATTCCACGCTGGAGTATCCTTACAAGTTGCTGGATGTTTTCAGTCATCACCAACGCAATGAAAGACTGCGTGACATCATGTCACGCGGAAATCCGAATCACCACCAACAGCAGCTTAAATGACGTCATACGCATTCATAAGCGCCTTTGTAAACAGATTTCTTGTACTTCCGAGTCTCTGAAACCATGGTTTGTAATTCACTGGTTTGTTTTGGCGATAACGACCGTCATTTATATTGCAGATATGGTGGATTTTTTTCAACAAAATGCCAGCGAGTGGTACGATTTGTATCAGGACGCCCTTGTAAGTGTGGTATACCTGTATGCGTTTGTCTACCCAAGCTACTGTGCCGCTTCAGTGACTGCTCGCTGCAATCAAATGCTTAAGGAACTAAATATGACTTCTGACGAGGATTGGGACACAGGACACCCATTCCACAGCCGGGCCCAGCTGGCGCTCTTCATCCAGTGTGCACAGTACACTGAATGTGGCTTCCAAGCTGGTGGAGTCACATTTGGCTCCAACTTGGCGTGGTTTTCAACCCTCGTTGCAATGTGTGGCTTGGGTGTGAAAGTGCTCTGAGGAAGAAACACTCAATGCAGTCTTCACAAGAATGAATGCTAGCAGTTGTTACGTTGTTAGGAAGTGCTTTTCAGCCTACCTAAGGACCACTTCTAAAACTTTCCTGATCATGTCTTCCATCATGATCACATGACAGATGATAAGCTTGCGTGATTCTTGAATTAAATATGGTCAAATACGCGATTTTGTAAGGCTATTTTGGAGGAGATGGGCGAGATAATCAGTTTAAGTATGGTTTCACACGCTAACGCATTTATTACGTTATGGGTAGTTTTCTTTCTGTACTCAGCAACAGACGTAATATACTACGATTATTAGTCGAGATTAGATTAGTTAAGGTTACAGTATACCTTCAGGGGTGTCTCGCGCGCAAGCGATGTAGCACGTGCAGTTTAAGCTGTAGATACCTAAACCCCTATATCAAATTAAAGCTTATGGAGCTGGCTATCA